CGAAACATCTGAAATTGATTCACTTTTTGGACGTTTGACAAGTAAGTTGTTAAGTTATGGAGTAAATCCTTGAGCTTGAAAGGGCTTTATTGTCATGGTAGAGAGATTTGCACTACTTGATGGTAAGGTTGTATGGACTGGTGCAAACCCATTTGGCTGATCTCAGCTGAAGAGTGCTGTAGCGACCGTATCAAAATCCGTAGCTAATCTGCCGCGTGGTGGGTCGCGTGCTGCGTGCGCGAAGAGCTGTGAAGGGCTGCTTTCAGACTTCGACGACCGTCCGTCCGTTCGTTCGTTCAACGCGTGCGCGACGGCGGTCGCGTGCGTGTCGCGACAGTTGTTCTAGGAAGGTATTGACAGCGTCTTATCGGTATTCGGCTCTGTCAACACCTTCCTAGATCCGCCGTCGCGACACGCACGCGAACGCCGTCGCGCACGTGTTGAACGGAGGGACGGTCGTCGAAGTCTGAAAGTAGCCGGGGGGTCACACTGGCTAACACGTTCCCCCGGTTCAGCTGTGTGCGACACAGTGCGCGTCACATGTCATCTGCTAAACGGACCCCTCACAAAGTAGCTTGAAGTGAATTAATCTCGAAATTAATCTTAATAAGCGCGATTTTTTAGAAATGTACTGTTTCTAACGAGAATCGATGACATCGCCCCTTCTTCATCTGTGCATTCACATGATGGAATAGTCCGAAATTGTTTTCCCTCCCGAATCTAACAAAACTGAAAAAAAGCCATGAAGGGTTCATCGAAAGCGCATAATTTTAACAAACTCCGATTTGGTGGACAATAATCGTACTTGTTCTTATCTGTTTATCTGGACAATCATAAAATTCATAAAGTAGTCTTGGGGACGGTTCCTCTATCTAAATCCTGCTACCCCTGCCCTCTAAGTTAATAATATGAATATTCAAGTGCCTTCGGATCCAGTTTAGCCTTTACCCCTTTTTAGATTTCAAAAATGGTTTCGAGCCTGAGGGAAGATTTTTGATCTGAGGAGCCACCTATAAATTTGAGATGAAAGTTGAACACTCTTGTTTTGCTGATTTCTGTCCGGAGTGTTTTAGAATTTTTGTATGTTGAGTATAAAATCCCTGCTTTTCTGATGCTTGTGATTACTCGGTTCCTACCTCAACCTCAAAATATTGCCAGCCGGTATTTCAGTGCTCATCCAAACAAACCTTTTCGTTCTGAAATTTTTAAAGGCACAGGTCAGGACAATTTTGGGGGTATCCGGTATTTCAGAGATAAAGGTAGGTAAGGCCTACACTAAGACAATCGTAAAGCCTAAAACGCTAAAAACAGCAAGAAAAAGGAAAACAAACGGCCGAAAAAAAAGAGGAAAGAGTGGCAAGACGAGTTTCATAACGGGGAAACGGTGGTTAAGTGAAATTTCGCGGAAGTACGGGAATGCGACGCCATGTGTGCAATGGCACACAAAACACCCAAACAGCTGATTTAGACTACATACTTGAATCTATTTATTCCCCTGCTGATATTTTGCTGTACTTTTATGATTATTCAGTTGTTCTGCACAGAAAGGTGAGTAAATTCCCTTATATTGATTAGTTTACGATTAAATGTACCTAAGTTTTCATATAGTACGTTGTTTTATTAAGTGCATGCTAGGATTCCAATATTTTTTTATTTGCAATGGATTTTCTTCATTTGGGGTCATTTATGTGTTCTTGTACAATGTCAAGAACACTCTTTGACTTTCATTTGAAGATTTATGCTCAGTTGAAGCCAATCCGTTGAAATGCAGCCGAATATAAGTACCAGAAGGAGGCGGTCGACCAGCTGACCATTCCTGGCAATTTGCCAATCAGCGTATCGATTTTCCACCAACTTCGCTCCAGTGCGAAAGCGGTGAAAGAAAATTCGAACGCGTAGTCAGCCTAGCGAGGGGCGGAGCCCTGACGTCCCCCAATGTTCCTGCCTTAATTGTGCCCTATTCTAACGAATTGCGACCTCATTCCTGCACAAATGGTATCAGGAGGGGCTTCGAATTCAAACTATATGCAAATCTCCGGAACACCTTTTCTTGACCTGTTTCCTGACCTGTGCCTTTAAAGGATATGCAAACACTGGAATTTTTGCAAACTCGAGAGGCTCGGAAAGAGTACGGGATCGTGCAGTAAGTCCCTGCTAGCACTCACTCTTCCACAATTAGTAAGCAATTCGTGCTAGTGCAGGCCTTTTGATTCCATATTTTCCCTCTTCTCTAAGCTTAGCTTCAATAGGAAACTGCTGTCGAGTTTTCGAAGAAGGCGTTCTCCCTTGCTTGGATTCTGCATTCCCGAGCTAGTAAAATGCACGGCTGAGCAAGCAGATCAAAATAGTGTGACACTCACCAACGTTATTGTTGCAGATTTGGATTCCTGAGCATTTTTCATATTTCATAAAGGTGTCAAGTCTTCACCGCCTTCATAAAGGCAATTGAAGTTGATGAACGTATTCGTATCACAGGGCTCATATGTACAGTCAGTGGACATTTATTTCTTCCTTCCGTTCAGTAATATGGCCAAAGTGTCACCACATTCGTAGCAGCTCATTATCCCAACTTTTGCGTACACACTCTCAACTCAAATCCCCGCTCATTACACTTATCTGCTTCGTCAATTCCTATGTTCGAATCTTTCCCTTTTCCTCTAACGTGCTGCTGGTTTCTCAAGCACTCATCAGCGGATTTTGAGACGTTTACACAGTTGTGTTTTCTGTCCAGACTGTTACGTGATTGTGAAGTTGCGACCTGTGGCGAGTTTCTCTTTTTTCATTTACAACTTTGTGGTGCATTTTTGTCTCGAATATTTTGCGTTGAATTATCACATCTGCTGGTGGAAGTCATCATAATGTGAATGTAGAGCACATGAGAAGAGCAAAGAAAATGTGACCATATAGGATGATTTGGGTGGGAACCGAATTATCCCAGGTGTCAAAAGAGTCGCACGATTTGGTGAAATCAACGTACGAAGGTTTCACGTTCTCGAGGGAGGTTTCGCAAAATGCGAAATTCGCGTCTTCCACAAAATCGCACTAATGGCCTCAGTTATGTAAAACATCGCGCTTACCACTGGTACGAGTCACGCCCCGAAAGGGACCCCATTCGGACCAGCTCTGTTTCCATCCTTCATCTTCCCAACGGCTCTATGTCCCTCATCCTCCGTCCACAATGCGACGGGTCAGCCGTGATTTCTATTTGGGGGCCGTTAGCACGGTGGCGTTCTTCGTTTAGGGGCCTGTATTCTTCCCACCTACGCCTGACCTCACCAGGCTTTCTGAGACATTTTTCCATCTACGCCTGGCCTCACCAGGCTTTCCCAAGATTGCGCCCTCCCCGTGCTTGACGGACTTCACACTGCAGGTTACTTTTGAGCGTTTTTTCTGCGAAGAAGGTGCTGCAGATTGCCAAGTCATAGGCTATAGGGCCAGATCCAGGATCCTCGCTCCTTCATTTCCGACTCCTTTTCCGCTTCCTGCATGTACCCTTTCCAGTCTCCTCGTCCCACCTTTCCACCGCCGACAGTTCCATTTAGATCGCCACCTAAGGTGAGATAGTCCCCTACCGGGACCGATCTGATAGCATCATCGAGGCTCAGATAGAAGATTTCTTCCGAGACAGCCGGATAGTGGTGCGTACACGGATGTTATTGTCCAGCAACCCTATTTCCGTGTCTATCCTCACTGCCGTGGTTCGATTGCTGCTCCTGTTACGGCGGATATAGAGTATTTGAGGGACTCCGCCACTGTTATGGCTACACCAATTCGTTTGGTGTCGTCTCTGTTGCAATGGAGCCTGATACCCTTTCCGAATTCTCTAACCTTGGGTCTTTCCAGCGCATCTCCTGGAGGCAAAAGGCTTGAATGTTCCAGCGCTCTAGTAGATCAACAACCTTACGGGACCCAGTAAGTGAACCGAAGCTCTGAGAAGCCCAAATTCGAATTACCTTCTCTGACTAAGGTCGTTCGTTCCTCAGTAGCCCTCGCGTACTGTTCACAGGACTCGACTGGGGTCCTAAACGCCACTTTCGGTTGACGTCCTAGCTTCTTTTGAGACTCTTGGCATGATTGCTGTGACCGGATTTCTCCATCAGCCAGTATGCCAACCTGGGTCTGATGCCAGAATCGATAGCATTTTTGCAAGTTTTGCAGGGCATGGATTCGCCTCGGCATAGGTTGAACTTGTGCTCTCTCTCTGAGTGCAGACATGAGTCTACTCTTATGTACTCGGCCATCCCTTCCTTATGTAGTCAGAGTGTGTAATGAACTAATATTCAAGGCTAAAACCATAGAATGCCTAAAAGTTATTGAGTAAGATAAGAAATTTTTGCACACCTCTACCTGTAATCTGTATCGTCAATCAATTTCGCTGCTATCTTTCTGAGCGGAAAACTACTAAATACTTAGAGAATCTCTTAAACTCTATATCAGAGTCTTCCCACATGTCCATAATATAGCCTGCAGAGTCTAGGGGGCTAAAATTAGGGGTATTTCAAAATTTCACTTTGTTCTGGATTATCTCACAACAAGAGCAAAAAATTCAAATTCGCGTTTCTTTCGTGATCTCAAATTCTCTCCGGTTATTCTTCTCGAACTCTTTGTGGATATGTGGAGCGGGGACCTCGAAGGTCTCTGCATTGGGGGATAATTCAATAAACGGAGCAAGAAAGGAAACGAAAGTTTATGGTACGATGGTACTGACATATGATGAGATACTAACAGAAGCGAATGTTCCAGAACGACCAGTTCTTTTTTGTTTCCGCGAAAGTTTCTTTGTCTCGTCTACCGGTTCCCGTTTTCCGAGATCTAAACAGTCATGCTTTATTTTCCTACGCTGTTCATGAATTATCGTTGTCATTTTGACTAACTACTGAAACAAAGTTTCGTAAAACTGCATGAATACACGATTGAAATTGTGTCGCATGGCGAAGGTAAGATCTTTGGAAAAATGAATCACTTATTGGAGTCACCTATTGTTGCTAATCTACGTCCAGATCTATGTTGATCGCCAGCTGTGGAATCGTCAAATTTATCCACCCATCAATGTTTTGCCATCTTTGAGCCGTCTCATGAAAACTGCTATAGGTGATCTCTTGCACTTTGTTTGTACGAGGCCATGCTATTTTAAATTAATAATGAAAGATTCAGGAGAAAAGTGCACTCGTGATGACCATCCAGATATCGCAAATCAATTGTATGCAATGTACGCAACTGCCAAAGAAGTTGCAACTTTGAGGACAGTGGTAAGCCCGATTTTCTATAGAAGTCGGACCCATCACGTTACCTTTGAGAAATGAATCGTTTTTGAAAATCTAGCCCAGCCGGTAACCCGCGAGCCGATATATCCTGTTCTGAATCGATGTCGCGGCCATACAAAAGTTGTAAACAAGCTCCACCCAAGTAGTTTACAACCAGTTTCCTGTGTCTGACCATTTGGTCACACACTTCCGTACAATCCTACTACTAGTTCGTGGTCAACCACGAACTAGTAGCAGTATTGTACAGAAGTGTGTGATCAACATAACTTTTGCTGAGATTCCCCAATCAAGTTAAGATGACCTGTTAACCCTGTAAGAGCAAGCATTAAATATGTCAAAGTATCAAATAATAAGATTTAGTCCATGTTTCCCCTAAGGATGATCTTAAGGATGGCCCCAGTTTCTGCCAAGGCCATGATCGGAATCGGAACCTATGTCTTCTTCTCCTTAGCGTGCTCAGCGCTGCTAAGGTCGGCCGCTCTTCTTAGTTGTGGCTATTTCGTTATGTTTATACCAATTTCTGCTGTCATCTTGATTTTGGGGGAAATTGTTTGTTAGTGTCACGCCGTCTCTACAGGGTGGCTACAAAGTATGGTCCGGTATTCATTCGCATGTAAAAAAATAAATAGGACACATTTCCTTAAGAATTTTCGTTAAATGGTATGACTAGGATAATGGAACATTTATTCGGGGTATTGTTCGAAATGATCGCCTTTGGACAGAATACAAGCTTCCAATCTCTTCGTAAAGGCTGCCACGGTGGGCCGCAAGCAGTCGACATCAATTTTCTGCCATCCCCTCTGAAGAGCTGCTTTTAGACTGCCCGAACTGCGGTGGGGTGAAGAAGACACTTTCTGCTGCGGATAGCTCCAAACGGAGTAGTCCTCTGGATTGAGGTTTGGGGAGGGGGTTATATGGCCACATGTCTCTGTCCCAGAATCCAGGAAAATGATATCGGCAGAAGGAAATCGTGGATTTCGACCTATGTGCTAGTGCCCAGTCCTGTTGCAAGATAAAGTCTGTTCTCCAAAGTGATTTCGGGCCTATGGCAACAATGTGCCCCTTAAAATAACATTCTGGTAAGTTTCCGAGTTGATTTTGACGTTTTTATTAACAAAAACGAGGGGAGTTTTACCTTCTGATGTTATTCCGACCCATACCATCACCGACTTCGCGAACAGGGTCCTGGTTTTTACTCGTCGTTTTCTGGAATTTTCTCTGCCCAAGGTAGCAACTGCCGCTGGTTCTGGCTGTTGTGCGCAACCTCGATCGTAAAGATTTTCTCGTCTGTCCACACGATGTCTGAGAGACGGCCCGCACGAACTGCTGCCAGCTTCTGACATTTTTCCAGTCTGTTCTTCTTTGCTGCTTCGCTGAGCATCTGGCCTCGGAAGAAGCGGTAACTGTGTAAATCTAGTTCACATTTCACAATGTTTTGAACACTTCTCCGTGAGATATGCGAATCCGAAGCAATTTTGTTCTTGCTGACCTCATCGTTGCGTGAGATCCTCTTCTTGATCACCTTCCGAATCCGAGGAACATTGACAGTTCTTGGACGCCCTGATTTTGGAAGTGGTAGATGGTGTCCACGCTCCATGTACTGGGCCACAATTCTGACCGTTCTATCATTAATGTGCAGCCTTCTTGTAATCTCCGCAGTGGAATATCCTTCGTCCACGAGATGTGCGATTGTGGCGCGGTAAGGAGATAGCCGCATTTCTCTGGGGAACTTCTACCGACAGTCGCAATAATTTGGCTATAGTGCATGACTGACATGCTGCATTCAGAGTATATATTGCACAGCTGAAACAGGGATTTACAGGTTAGTAAGCGATGTGTGATTTGCCGAACCATACTTTGTAGCCACCCTGTATTTTGAGGTTTCTCGTGATCGCTTCCTTTAAAGGCACAGTTCACGATAATTTTGGATAATCCAGACTATGAAAAATGGAAGACAAGATCGAAACTAGTGCGACTGAGGTGAAGAAACTGCGTGCATCGGTGTTTCCGAAGTGAAAAAAGGCTTCGAAAAACCGTTAAAAAGGGGCTGGACGAGAATGAAACCAGAAAAATGAAGAAGAGTGGGGCTCCGGACGAGCTCAACAGTGTGTTTCACTGCGCGCATGCGGGTCTTGGTGCGAATAAAAGACAATGGTAAGCAAAAATCCACTCACTTATAAGCATAAATAAACAAAAAACCCTAGTAACAGCAAAAGTAGCTCATCTTTTTCAGCCTCCAGGAGTAGGAAATTGAATAAGGGATCGTGGCAGCAAAAAGAAATACAGGAGAAAAAAGAATGGGAGAAAAACATCGCTTCATCACTTGGCGATTAGCTGATTGTGCGTGGGTCCTAGAACGAATAATAGCAATCTGTATTGTCTGACACTCGTCTAGCGTGACACCGATCGAGGGGCGGGAAAGCGAACTACGGCAGCAAGGGGGCTTCCACTATGCCCTAAACGCCAAGACTGTGGGAGCGAGAGGGTCCTTTTTACCATCCATGGTAAGCGCTGAGTATTCCTAAACTCAGTAACCTTTTTATCGTGAACCGTACCTTTGATCTTCGTATCTCTTTGCTTTTATTATCGGGTGTTGCGATGGTCACCTCAGTATCTGCTCTCACCACTGCCGACACTCCGCTATCATCTTCATCTGGGCAGGAGCTGTTGACGTGACTGGCTGAGCATTCCGTCCTGTCGCGTCCAGCGGTCAACCTCGCTTCCGCTGAAAAAAGTTCCTTTCTATAGTTCTTGCCTACGAGCCAGCAATCCCCTTCAAGGACATCGTGGATCTCACTACTGCCATGCTTACTGTCTCTCTGAGTCAAGACATCGTTGTCTTGAAAGGCTCAGAGAGAAAGTAAGCATAGCAGTATTGAGATCCACGCTGTCCTAATGGGGTTGAGGGATAGCAGTAGAGAAAAGATGCCGATGGACTTCCTCCATTCCGACCGTGCTGGGTTATTCACTAGGGAAGGATCCCAAGTCGAAATGGCCATTTGAAATGAGACCTACATTGCTGGACGTGTTTTTGGATACTGAGTTCAAATCTGCTTTCCAAATTTGCCAAGGGTCTCTCTTAACGGAGTTATGAGGGTGATCGCAGGGGGTCAACATGAGAAAACTTAAACTACTTGGATGTGCCTCATTTCGCAACGGAGGCTTGGTGCAGTGGTAAGCGTGACGCTTCATGGGTGAGAGGCTAGGGTTCGGGTTTTGTGGGGACGGGATTTTCGCCTTACATAGAATCTTTCCCTTAAGGACTGAAAAATACTCTCATGGCGATTTTATCACGTTTTATGACCTTTCAACGCTTTGCTGATATTCATCGACATGAAGTAATACTTCAGTTTTACTCGGATGCCCATGAAACCTATATTCACAGTACGATAACTTTTGCCACTTTATGAACAGATGTGATACTCTAGCACGAAATGCTTGAGACGAAGAAGCTTCTCACAATGGAATCAGCGGATAAAAAAACTGGTCACAGCCCAACGCTTGGCAAATTTGGAAGGCAGATTTGAACTCAGCATTTGAAAACACGTCCAGCAGTGTAGGTCTCATTTCAAATGTACTTGGGATCCTTCCTTGGTCAGTCCTTTACAGGTCCATCCATGCGAACGTCAAGTGTTCGTTTATTTTCCAAGCTTCCAAGCACCGCAACTACTAGATTCTTTCGTACTTCGCACTGCGTTCTTTCCTAGCACGTTCTGCTACATCTACAGCTTGTCCTGAAATCTTCAGCACAATCTTCCCTTCACTGCAATTAAAAGGATGTTGTCATCCATTTCGAGCAGAGAAAGCAATGAACTCAGAACCCTTGATGTACCCTGAGCCTGGCGTCTAGTGTTTTTGGTAAGCCGATGGGAGTGTTTCGGTTGCGTTTAAGACCTATTGCACATGACCCTGACTGAGAATATCAAGCCTTCCATTCGTTCTCACTGCCTCAACCAGAGTATGGTCCGCGGTATACGGTCAGACACGTTCTTAAACAGCTACGCACACCAAACATGAAACGAAAAACACTCAACACATGCGAAAACGCACAGTATCCTCAGAAAACACACAACACATGCACGCTGAATGCACATTAGGACAAAACTTACGACGCACACATAAATGAACAAGACGAACTGTACATATAAATATGCACATAGAAGACATACATAAAATACGCATCATACACATACACTACATATTAAGCATAGAGTATTTTTTACATACAGCAAGGATATGCAACTCAAAATTATCCCCATCTTAATTCCTCTGAACCTCAAGCAAAAAAGGAACGATACCTTTCATAGCGCAAACATTTTGAGCTGGCGAACTCATTTGAACAGTCACTCCCTTCAATATCCAGCATCACCAAGTACTACTGTAGACTCGAGGGCGGATGTGGAATCTTGGAGTATTGAGGAAGGTTTGGGAGTAAAACCCTTCCATAGAAGGAAAAATTGTCACATCAAATGTAAAGTAATTCGCCTTATAATTTTGTCACGCCTATACTCGACGTTTCTTGCTGTAGACTTACTGTTCACACAGAGAGTAGTAATTCGAAATACAAATGGAGTAGTTTAGGTCGGAGACGAAGCTCTTACTCACGAAGATTGGTTGTATTTGGAGTTTTTGAAAAAATTTGAAAAACAATTCGCTTCGCAAGGTAAGCTTTCCTATGGATGTACATATAATAATGATTTTCTGAAAGTCATTCAAAAAACACTCCTAAAAATTTGCTATACACTAACTACACCAATTTTTGCATACTCACTGATTTCCATCTTGTCGCGACCCGGCGCTATTCGCGTTTTGCAGTACAGAAAGAAGACCAGTCCAGTACAGACAGGCACACACTCGGCCTGAGGGTAAGCCTACCTCCGATGTTCTTCAGTCTAGTCCTTTCTAATGTGCCTACCTGGCCTTCTTATCTTCGTTTGGCCTTGCATAGAATTTCGCTCTACTTTTTTTGCGATCTTGCGTCCTGACAGAACTATTCCATATACTTCGCCATGCCACTGCGCATGTATGTGCGGCATAATAAATAACATATAATAAGAATGATGTGACGATGGAAGACGAGCGATGAAGCACGATGGATGAACAAAGACGATTGACACGGCAAGGGTGATGACGATTCGACCACATTCTACACCACGGCGGCTATGCCAGCGTGGTGGTCGCCTACGATTGATACTATTATACAAAAGTCGGTAGTGCGCGTCTAATGCTGTGCGAACAGTGCAATGGCGAGACCCAGAGGGTGAGCAGTCTTGTTCTATGTGTTCTAAATGTTGCTGTCAGGGTGTTGGTATATTTGATTGTGTGATGTGTCAGTGTGCGTTTGACTGGCACTTCGTAAATCTTGTTCCCCTGAACGGAGAGCGTTTAATTCAGGGAAAGATACGGGCAAAAAGATGAAAACTTCTCTGTTTCGTCACAGGAAGAGACAATTGAAAGAAGTTGGTAGTAGCCGTAGAAAACAACAGTCGTTAGAACAGACACACATCTCGCATAGTAATGGCAACGACAGTTTGGTATGAATTCTGAAGTGGGATTAGGGCTGAGAAAGCAACAGCCATTGAATTATCATGTCTTTCGTGGTGACAAAGGCATCACGATACTTTGGAAGGTTGTGACGTGGTCGTAAAGAAATGGTGACAAGCGCTCATAATTTCTACCAAGGATTGGTAAGGAGAAATGGAAATGTGAAAGCCGTTAAGCCAGCACTTCCTTTCGTATTGATGGTGCCGATGATGATGCCTCGCAACTTCGGTGTGTGATTTTGGGTGACCAGATCACACCGATGTCAGAAAACGTTAGTAGTTGATAGAACCAAGACGAGCGGCCCTCGATTTCTAATACTGCCGTCACTACGATTGAAGTAGGGGTCACTTCGCCCTTAATCCACCATATTCACGATGTATCTTTGAGAGTTTAGTATGCTTTTCTCGTTTTGGGGGGAGGGGGATGAAAACACTGTTTTTTACATCAGCTGACCACCGCAAATCATTCTATAGGCCACATCGCATTTATTACGCTACTACTATTCACAATGGAAGTCGAATGCCTAGGCGCATCTCTAGACTGGATTGATTAGTGCCATTTATGACTACCTATCCTAACCTTTTTCTCACCGCATAGTAGCGACAGTTGCGCTGCTCCTTCTTTCTACCGAGATCCTCTCCTAGAACTCCAATGTCAATATCGTAGAGCACACCTAACTACATGCACTCCCCTTCAGCAATTCTGCGATCAGAATTGTACAGTATGATCTAAAAAAGAAGAGTGACCCGTCAATTGAGCATTCCGACTCTATAACAAGAAAGAAGAGGACGTGTTGCAAAACAGGCGTTCCGACTTTCGTGTTCTACCGAACAACCACACCGAGTTACCATACAACAGTTAACCGCCTGATTTCGCGTATGTAACTTCACTTTTGATATTGGAAACCTGCACCATCTTCTGAGAAGAATAAATAACAAGATTTAATGAAGAAGGAGCATTGATGTCAGGGAAAATTTGTGTACTTTTCCTATGATGGAATAGTGAGTAAATTAGGTATGACGGCAGGAGTTGTAACGAATGACTTTTGGTTTTTTTTGATGAATACAAGCAGATCACTCATCTCTCAATAAGGATCTTGAGCTATGGTAATTCAAACATAAAAATTTTCCAGAGCATTTTTTTATTCATCCTTCTGTTCAGCTTTAACCTCTCTTCTCTTCTAGGCCAACATGAGCGTCGCACCGTAGAAGAATCGCTGGATATTGCATGGCAAATGCTACGAATTTTCCCACGAGAGATGCTCGGAAGAATTCCGGGAAGTATACTAAGCAAATACTATACTAGGCGGCACGTCCCTAGTTTTAATGACTATGTGACGAGGAAGACCCACTGAGTTTTCTCTGGTTCCCGCACCCGTTAAATCTATGACTTAGGAATTGATAAAAGCAAAAGTCTTCAGCTTACACTAGGTACAAATGGCATTGTCTCTGAGAAGTGAAAGTGAGATCAGGCAAGTTCCTATGTGCATCCTCTTGCCTCGCCGGTCTAGTTCGAATGGCACCCCCTACAACACCGGAAAACGATCTGCGATGCGCTGAATTAATGCCATACTAGTGATATAAATAGCTAGCTATTTGAGTACTTTCTCGTACGAATATTCTTCTTCTCCTGTTTCATTCAACAAGTCTGATAACTCCTGCACAAAATTCAGCATCGATACGCCGAAAGTCACGCATTTAAGCTGAATTTTTCTCCAGCACTCTTCGAGAGGGGTCTTTTTCAATCAGCTCAAGTTTTTAGTGAAATTGTGAACTATTGAGTGTTACTGTCGTCAGAACCTTCGATAAAAACGTTACTTATAAAAAGTCCTAACTGTAGTCGTATCGCTGTATAGTTAGTTTACTTATTTGCTTTCGCCATTTCATATGACCTTTATTAGAATGAACATTTTTTTCCTACTGCTCTCAAAAACCATGCAGTTCAATACCAGCAAATTCGTCCAGCGTGATCGCATGCCAAAATAATAGCGCAGTGAACATTGACCTAAAATACAAGAAGTGTACCATTCTTCTCGATCAAAGTTCTCGTTAACAAGCCTGAATATCAGGTGAGGCGGTTCTGCATCGTTTGACAAGAGATGCAATTAGTAACCAGCCTAGTTCATTATTTATAAAGAGTTGCCTGATGTGTGCGCCTCGTGTCTGATCTTCCACTCCTTGGCCTAAGCAAAAGGGTCCCTGATCTTTGTTCGCTGGAGGAACCCGGTACTCAGGAACCACCTCTGTGCTTGTATGTAACAGGAGCTGCGAGCATTGCTCTTTTATACCTCCGAATATCGCTGACTCTACGTTCATCCTGCCTGCCCAAAGCCCGTGTACTTGACATGGTGCTAATTTTCCTGATCTACACTGCTACGCTCTCAGTGTTTTTGAGCGCTCCGATGTCGTTCGATTCCTTTAGCCTAGCTTTTTCAGACAATAATAATAATGTTGATTCTTCTATCCAACTGAACGTTGTTGGAGCAGTTGAAGATATCTGTACTGTTGCTCTCCAAGGAGCATCAGAAAACCAGTCTGTCTCTCACGAGGTTTACTATTGTTTTCCTGAGGTTGGGCCGCAGACCGATTAGTACATAGGTTTGCCGACTTTCTTTCCATCTCTCGCTCCGCCTCCTTAACCCTTTGACGACAATGCGGATTTCAACTTGTCGCGCCCATTGGGCCACGTTCCATCTTTTTGCGCGCGACTGGCACCCACCGCTGGGTGGCACTGTCCCAGGAGAAAAATCTTCCACTGACTTACTGAGTTCAGCAATTGGAAGGAAACAAGGAAGAGTGGTGGCACCCAAAATTGTGTGCAAATGTCCCATGCGCCAGTCGTAGTGGCAACCACAGGTGGGTGCCATTGTCGTCAAAGGGTTAATACTTCGTGTTGTAAGCACGATTTCGCAAAGCAAAAGTATGCAACTGCCATCGACTGTTAATCTTCACTCTTATGTCTTTCCATTAAAACTAGAATATGACTTTTCAAAAGGGGTTAGGCATCATGGTATGACCCTTTCTTCCCTTGACTATAGCTTAAATGCTGAAGAGCGATATTTATGTCGGTCTCGTCATTTTGTAGAGCTTATACTGATACTCATTCAGCAGGGTTTCGATGAACGCTTCTGTCTCAAGAGTGCCAAGTGCCTAGTGGGTCTCGTGGCTGTGTTTGTAAGATAGCTGTCCCTCGGCCTGCAGTCGAACCTTAGGAGTTCCCTGCTGGAGCCCTGACTGCTAACCAGGCCTTCCTTCGTCAAACAACAGGCAACTCACGCGAGGGATCCAAAGACTACGGAAAGCAGGTGAACTAGTTTGAATGTTATATATGCGTCCATCCTTATACAGCAAAGCGTCAGAGGACTGTCCAATTGATTTTTCGTGATCCGATAGGTATAGCGCGAGGAGCTCCGCTTACGAGGAAATCGGTCGGAAACCCTTCAGAGTTTTCGACTGAAGCGTGCGTCCACTGTCCTCAAATACCGACACTGTTCTGACCTAGGAGCAATGCTTGCAAAAGCGTCAGAGGATGAAAAAAACTATTTCTATCCTCTAATCCATCATCCACGACGTTTTGCGTGGAAGCAACTTTCAAAGCAGGCTTTTTGCAAATATCGCACACCCCTTGACTGAGTAGGAGCGTCGAGAGCTAGTCAATGTGTATCAGAAGCTACTTTAGGTGGACGTCAACATGAACTGACTTTGTCATTGCCCAGGATGAAAAGTGGGTGCCATGCGAAAATTCACGCAGGAAATGACAATGCCTTCCAGTGGACGTTAGGCCTTAGCCCGCCTCAGAGCTGTGCGCTCATGCCAAAAAGCACATGAGCTCATTCCTCCCCTGCTTACCCGAAAAATTCACTGCGGCTCCT